CGTGACGTCAGCTTTCTGGATTGGTCAAATTTGTTCGATTCCGAGAAGATTTGATTTGCGGTCAACTGTTCGGGCCAGCCAGATCTACATAAATTTTAAGCAGTAAGTTTTCTTCATCAAACCTTTAGATCCGCTGCGCATAGGTTTATGTTGAATGTTTGTCCGTGATTTGTGCATATCAAGATCCTCATGGGTTCCAACATTGTATGCTTCTCAATAATTTCTAATATTCTAGGACATAGAATCCCCTTCCATTTTCTTGCTCTATCCCTATTTTTTTGCAGTCTTTCCATCAAATAACCTCTGAGCCATTCACACATTGTTATTATTGGCTCCTCTCTAGCTTCCAATATATTGGAATTGAATGTCTCACAACAATTGTTCAACAGCATATCACACTTCACATCTTCCTTAAAATGTGACCTTGACCATTGCTCTGGTGGTTTATCACCTAGCCACTCCCATGCAGCTGGATTCAAGTCCCTCAGCTGGGACATTTATGGTTAAACTCAGCCTTAGTTGTTGACAAGGCAGCACTCCACAATGCATTTTTGAAAGCTATCCCTCTAAACCCAACATTGTGGAAATTATTGCACATATGTCTAACACAATGCCTATGTTTAGCTAAAGGAAAGACATCTGCAACTGCTTGAATAAGTCCTTTTTGTTTGTCAGACATGAAAATGAAGCCATTGCCCAACCCTATACACAAATCACTCTTCAGAATTGTCAAAAACCAACCCCAAGTTTCTGAGGTCTCACCACTCACAACTGCAAATGAGATAGGAAATAGATTGTTATTAGGGTCTACACTCACTGCTGTTAATAAGATACCCTTGTGTGGACCCTTTAGGTGATATCCATCTATTCCTATTATATGTCTGCAGCCTGCCAAAAAACCTTTTTTCAATGCATCAAAGCAAATGTACAACCTATTAAACCTATTATCCCCATTAACATAATCACATGTTCCCAAAACAACAGTGGATCCAGGGTTAGATCTTCTCAACTCCTCACTATAATCCCACAGTTTAGCATACTGCTCATCTGAAGAACCCTGCAAAATTTGGAGAGCTTTTCTCTTCACTCTATAAGCTTGGTCTCTAGAAACACTGCATCTAAGTTGCTCCACAGTATCCTTTCTCCACCCTTTGACACTTCTGTTGGGATCAGACTTATATTGTGACAAATACTTCTCAGTGAGCCAATTAGTCCTTACATTCTTAACTTTGAATGTAGTGGGACATGTGTGTTGGTCATCAAATTCTTTAATAAAGAAACTCTTTTCAATCTTCACTTTTAAAAGATTCAACTTGAAGGGACAACTTTGCTCATAACACCTCACATACACTCTGCATGGATCACTTTTAGTGATCTTGACACTCCTCTTGCAAGCAACACCATAAGATTGCACTGCCTTCTTGAATTCATTCCTGCTACTAACCAACATACCCAATTTGAAAACTGGGTCATAGACAGTAGCAGGATTAAAGATGGGCATGCTCTCTTCTTCTCCATCATCTGCTACAATGCACTCAGGATCATTCTGAACTACATCTTCTTCATTGAAATCACTATCCGCTGCCTCTGGGATTTCATCAACAAATCTATCAAATATACTATCATCATCACTACATACTTCCTCCATTCCATAATCACTGTCATGCAAATCATCAGACACCTGATCACCTATTCCTCCCTCAGTATCTCTAATCCCATCACTAGCCCTCTCATCACCTATTGCTCACTCATTTTGAGTAATTGAATTAGCCTCATTATCACTCATTTCATTAACAAATTCATCCACAATGGCATTCAAAGAATCTTGCTCACCTATAACTTATTTTTTACCAACAACATCACACTTCACATCAACATATATATCTATCTGTTTTAGAGCAACATGCTTAATAAACCAAGACCTCACTACTTCATCATTGGTCAATGGCCTAAACCAATTATTCAGTAAAATGTAATACATCCTATCAGACCCTTCTGGTACCACATGATCACTTAACCCCTTAAGTATAGCCATGTCCATACTTTTGGCATCCACATAATCAAATGATATTTGAGACCCACCTCTATATAATGCAATAGGTTCGTTCACAAACTTACCTCCAAAATGTAGGTCAACAGTCAGCTTGTAGGATCCACGTTCTGTAGCACAAAAAAAAATAAGAAAATGTAATTAAAATTAACACACAAACAGGGACCAAATTAACCCAGAAAACACACACACACATACCGTAAGAAGGTGGATCGGTATCTGGTTTCCTCTTGGTTGGAGAGTACAACCTCTCCAACTGACTACTAATTTGAATTCGCAATTCCGTGTTGAATGAACAATGGTTGAATGAACAATTTTGATCGATTGAAGAAGGAAAAGAATTAGGGTTCTGGAAAATTAGGTTTTTGAGGTGCGTTTTTTTTTATTTGGAGCTGAATTTGGGTTTTAATCAATGCTTTTGTCGATTGTACTTAGGTTACAGACACGCGGGCGTCCACGTTGGATCCATGTCGGCTAAACCGGGTTGAGTCAGCAGTTACCGGCTAGTTAAGGTTAGCTGCAGGTAAATTGGGCACGGGTTCCACATTTTAACAAGTTTCAGGGCATTTATGCCAAACCCAAAAGAAGCTGTCCAGTTTTGCAACAGGCCCAAAGTTACAGGGCAGTAAATGCAATTTTGCCTTCCAAAATAATTTAGAATATAACATTATTTAATATGACTTTATGATTAGGTAGCAGTAACTATTAAGTGCAAAATTAAATAAAAAATATAATTACTAAATTAATGCAAAATGAAATTGAGGGAGAACCGAAAATCCCCTTTCTGCTCGCGAAATCGTATCGCCGCCTTGGTCTTCTGCTCGCGCCTCCTGTTCTACCCCGGCGGTGGTCCGAGATAGTCGGAGAACGTGCTCCACCATTCACCCACGAATCGGCCTCGTCCCTCCCGTTCGGTCCTTCACTGTCGGATTCTCCTAGGGTTTGCAGATCCCCTTTCTGCGTTCGACCTTCAGGAGCATCGACGGGCTTGGGCTGGACAGAGGATGGTGGCAGGTGAGTGGGTGAGGTCTTGGTCGCCGTGGTCGGACTGATTGGCTCGGTGCCTCGCGCTAGAACTAGGGTATGCTCGATTGGCCTTTGAGGCTATCTCGCTGTCGATTGGCACGGGTCTATTCCGCCGGCGTTTTGGCGACTTTGGGAGGTGAGTTTCTTCAATGGCTTCCGAGTGTTGTGTGGTGGCTGCCTTCTACTTTTGCCGAATTGTCTCGGTTTGCTTTCGGTTGCGGTCGGCGGGTACCTTATCTATTCCGGCGGTTGTGGCTGTTTCTATTGGTCTGGATGGGGTGGCTGTGCTTGGAACTGGCAATTTCCCTCTTTCGGCTCTTTGCCTTAAGTTTTGGGTGTTTGTCCAGCTTCCGAATGCGCTGTGGTTTCGGTGATTTCGGGTCCGCTCGGCACTCGACTTGTGGTGTTTTGCCGGGTTGGGGTTGAGTGTGGTTTCTGTGGTTGGAGTGATGGTCGGCTATTGGGAGTGTTTCGGGGCTTGGGTCTCCGGGTTCGCTGGGCCTTTGACAGTGGTGAGCGAGGTTCTTGTGCTTTGAATCATCCTGTAGTAGGCTTTGTTTGATGACAATTTTGGAGGTCTCTACTGTGGGAGGGTTGTCTTTTTTGTTTTAGTATGGTTTAGCTTTTTATTTTTTTTACTGTTTTCTGGTTAGGTTCTGTGTTTTTGGTTTGGGCCGGTTGGCCTCTGTGTGTCCGGGTGTCAACTTTATTATCCTGGTGGGACCGACGCTCGAGTATTACCGTGTTGCGGTCTTTTTAGTTGTTTTAGTTGGTTAGTTTAATTTAGAGCTTTATTCTAGCGTTGCTAGTCGGGACTCTAAGCGGTCTTCTGACCTGTCCTCCCACTTTTTCAGCTATTGGCTGCTGTGTATTCAGCCGTTGGTTGTTGTGTATTCGCACATTTGTGCATTTTTAATTTATAATATAATTTATCGTTTTAGCAAAAAAATAGAAAATGCAAAATGTAAAATAAATAAATAAATAAATATAAAGTGGAGAAAACAAAAACGGTTGTCGCAATCTTTTGCTAACAAATTATATACAGATTGAGATTTTCTATTAAAATTTGATCTAAAATGATATATGTGCAGCCGCACAAAATGGCTTATTTTATTATTCGTATAACTAATACAATCTTCCCTCATATCACTCCTTCAAACTTTTCACAAAGCATCACACACAACACATGAAAAAAAAAAAGAGAGAGAAAAATGAAAATCATAAACCCTAATAATTAAATTCAGACCACAGCCACAGCGGGTCTATGCAAGTTCGAGAGACTCTCCGTCAAGTCGACGGTGAGCATTGACTTTCTCGGCCGAGCCGGACGGCCTAAATACGCCGACAACAATGGTTGGGCCGCCGGTAGCCGCTCCCTAACCCTGACCCACTTGGCCTGCATGTAGGCCTGCCTTCTCCATGGGCCCATGTGCATTTTCTTCTCCTTCATGCACTTTTTCGCGGCTCCGCATATTAACTTTAACAGGCCCATTAGCCTCTCGATCTTGCCCACGAATATTTCGGGCAGCCTCTTAACAAGCGCTTTGTACTCTTCGCTTGCTCGGGCCATCTCGAACTCGGCCCGAAAGTTCAGCTCGATTATCACCCGCACTTCCTTTTTCGGATTTGTGTTGTCCAATACGTCCACAAATGTGTGCTCCCCTGCAATATTAGTTAACAATATGAGTTATTATTTGCGTAATTAATTAATTGATCAAAGTCTTAAGAAAATCGTGATACTTTCTTTTTCTAGGAAATGCTAGAATACCGTTACGGAACCAATCCATCGAGATTTGTAACCGTTAAATTATCGTCTAACCGTAAAATATAGTTGATCCAACACACGTTAAGATCTCCCCTTTTTCTATTCATTTTGTTTATTTTGACTTTGCCAGTTGTCATTATCATTTTTACTAATTAAAGCCACCTCGTAAAACGTGACAGCTATTTACTAAAATGATTAATTCACGTGGTAGTTCGTGAAGAATTCACCAGAAGTCTCTTGTATTTTGTTTTACGCCAAAATTAAATATTGGATAAATTACAATATAATACTATAAATATTTGTATTCAAGCCAAAAAATTACACGTGACGCCAGATTATAAAGTAGAAGTTACGTATTAAATTTAACAAGTAACACAAATTGAAATGTTAAAGTCTTTGTCATCGGGTAAGTTTGGAGATACCTAACCGTTAGAAACTCCGACGGAATAAGTCGTAACGAGACCTTAACATTTCCTTATAAATTGAATGTAAATTATTGTAAAATAAAATTAAATTATGTACCTGAGGGCATTTCAGGTGAACTCTTCCACTTGGACTTGCAAATCGCACTGTTAAAGCCCTCGTTTTGCAGATGGCCACAAACCACCTCCATCAGGCATTTCCGGCAGCCGTTGTCGGCGGATCTGCCGCAGGCACACACATTTCCGGCAACTTTCGCTTCTTTTAATGATTCCTTTGTGATACTCCGAATTTTCGATTCTAAAGAAGTTGTTCTACATAATGTCGACTGCAAATATTAAGGAAACACATCTTAGAATGTTAACCCTTTTTTTTTTCTTGAAATAATTGAAACTAAATAAATTAAATAAAGAATTGAAACTAAATAAACGCACCTTCAACAACCCATGTTGAGTTTCCCAGAAATTATCATCGGAATCGGACCTATTTTCGTCTTCGTCGTCACTTTCTCTCTCGTTGACGTCATCAAGACAGCTCTCCGGCGACAGCCCCTCGTACTCCTCGCTCAGGAACTGAAAAACGGTGTCGTCCGACAGGTTGATCGCCGGCTCGACGGAAAATTCGGTTTCCCGGCAGTGACACGTCAGAATCCGGTGGCTGATCGGAACCCTGGCCATCAAATGAAATCTTGCTCCGAATTTTATTTGTATGCAACTGAGATTTTGCTTATTTTCTAACAACTTTGGGTATGGGGAGTTTATATACTCGAAGCACCGGAAAATGTGGGGCCCGGTAATCCTACGTGGACGGACATGGTGATTGAATTTTTAAATAATTCATTGGGTGGGTCCAATCTGGTGGGCCCACGTGGTGGAGCAGACAGCCAGGATCCACGTCAGTCGCGGTCGATAATTTGGATCGGCTCAATATTTTTGTGGATATACTCGAATATTCTAAATAATATTTTTATTTAATTTATTTTTGTAGCTACTCATCAAACTCAACCTAATCCAGTGGGTAAAGGGCCATCGTGGGCACGTGGCGCGATCCGACACGTTGATGCTCGAGTTTATCTTTATCCAGATGAGGGTGGGGCCCACATTGAACTCCCCACCTAAATTGTTATCTGTCGGTTCGCTACATATGCAACGCGGCGGCAGGCTCATGGTTTTTTTCATTTTCGATTTCCGGATTCCCTGATTTAGCCCTCACGTAGGATGTGCCTGAGAAAACGACAAGGGGTATTTCAGTCTTTATGCGGAGCAATCATTCTAGTATGGTATTATTGACTCATCAGCTTGGTAGGAACGTACGTTGTCCACAGATAATAATAGTTCGTGGATTTAAATTAATATTATTACTCCACAACTTTTTTGGTATGATGCCTGTGATTATAAAGTTGTTAGACAAGAATTCGACTCCACAGCTAGTTGGGTTTAAAAATATGAATTTGAAAATATGAACTTTTATTTAATTTTTTTAGAATTGTTTGCTCGTTAAAATTCAATTCGACTCTTTAATATGGAGAAATGAGTCGGATACAATCATGTTTAACAGTACGTTTAGTTAACGAATTGAGGTCGAGTATCAAGAGTTTGGGTTTAGCTAGACGTCTTTCGTTGAATTTTTTTCATTGCTTGATAGAGAATGGGAGGATGTAGTCAAGTGGATCAATGCAGTGGATTGTGAATCCACCAAGCGCGGGTTCAATTCCCGTCGTTCGTTCATGACTAAAAGAAAAGGGCTTTTTTTTTAAAGACGAAGAAAGAAATTCGTTAACACTCTCTTGCGTCATTGATTCCAATTGCATTGCTGTGCCAGAAGTAGGGTAACTATACTGATTCGGTATACTCTAAAGATGCCATCAGTACAATATTGACGATCCTACGAAGACAAAGATCTAATTTCAGTGATTACCTTTTGCTGATCTCATCTTTGACGGAATCGATCCCCTTTTGTATAAGATTGAGCATGTCGGGAAGCACATGAGAACGTTCTTTTACTGATATCATTATCAGTATTCGATATTGGGTCATTCATAGCATTACTATACCTTCCCTATTCATTGCGGGTTGGTTATTCGTCACTACCGGTTTAGCTTATGATGTATTTGGAAGCCCTCGGCCAAACGAGTATTTCACAGAGAGCCGACAAGGAATTCCATTAATAACTGGTCGTGATCTAGTGCATGTGAATAATATTTTGTTCTTTATAAGTTTATTCATTTAAATAATTACACATCAATACCATCACTCATTACTTCTCTAAGGGATAATATGGGTGTGTTTGTATATAAAATATCTCACTCCATGCTCAATTCATACTCAAAATCTAACTCAACCTCACTATCTTCAGTATTATAAATATAATTAAATAATATCAACTAATCATTCTTACACATCATATCAGCTTTAATTTATTATTCATCCACTCACATAATTTAACTAATTATCACTTCATATTATCTCTCTTCTACTTTTACATCAAATCAACTTTAGTTCTTTTATATTAAATATTATTTTAATATAAATTAAAATTTCACTAACAACTAATTATATTTTTTTTTAAAATTAAATCTAGTTAACAAAAAAAAAAAAAACTCATTTTGAGCGGATATTTTAATATACAAACACTCCTATTTTGCAAAGTACAATAGTAGGAGAAAAAAAATACATAGGCAAAGGGAGAAGTAACGCAAAGACCTTATAAATTTAAAACTCATTTCCCTCTGTCCTAATTAATTTCTCCGTCGCAGCCACACTCTATTCTCTTCGTCAAGTTGCGACCTGCCCCCTTGTTCGGCCGCATTTTGAGGCAAGAGGCTCTATCGCTCTCTAGCACTGCACCTTGTCGCTGTCTTCAGTCGCGGCTGTGAGCGAGAGAGGGTATGTCGAGTCTCGCGCCGTGCAGCCCTATCCAGACGGGTTTTGGGCCGCCACTTTGTTCTGTCGCTTTCTGCCTCGTGCGGGTCGAATTCATGTGTCTTGGTCGTTGTTTCGTCGTCCTCTCCATGATGGTGGCCTTTCGATTGGTCTTCGTCGCCAGGTTGGGTCCCCTCAAGGTGCATGAGTTTGGTTCTCAAACGTTGCTTTTGGAGCCGATCCCTTCAGGCCCTCTTTCACCCAGTTCGGCGACTTCGGTTGTGCAGATCTAGACTAAGACTTGCCTTCCCCCCGGTTTTCCCTAGCCACTTTCTGTGGAGTTTTTAGTTTTGGGGTCTGTTTTTGTAGCGCAATAGGTCCTGTTCGTGGGTTATTTGTGTATGGATTTTGGCTTGTGTGCTCGTCTGGGTTCAATTGCGGGTTGCTCATGTTAGTAGGGATGGTAGTAGTTTATAGCAAGATTAAGTGTGTGTTAAAGTACTTAGTGTGTTATTATCCACTTGTTGGAGTAGGAAGTCTCTCATTTTAGAGAGTTTTTAGTTTGTGTGTGGGGATTATGCGTCTAGCATCTGGTTTCAGAGCTCACGTCGCTTTCGAAAAATTGGATTCCTCTTCCTTGGTGTTTTGTTTAGGACACTATTGTTAGTACTCTTCCCAGTTTCCACCATTGGGTTGTTCTGACTGATTATTTAGCCTTTGGGCTCTATCTTGTAATCAACCTTTTGAGAAATAGTATTTATTGTTTCGGAAAAAAAAAATAAAAAAAATCAATCATGGTGCAACTAATTGACATAAATGTAGAGACAAATTTAGAGAGAAATATCATTTTATGAAAGAAATCTTACATGCCACAAGTAGCATGAATATCCAAAATTGCATTTCCTATTTCTTTTTT